CAACTACCGAGTCGGCTTCCAAGAGAAAGAAACGTGAAAGCGAATCCTCAATGTCCAATTTCGTTAGGCGAACTTCAGCAGGGGAAAAACATCTTATTTTCAAACAAATAGCTAAGGCCATATTTGCCACAAACTCAAGTTTTAGATGTATCGAGAACTCGGAAGTCAAGAAAGCCATTCATCTATTGAGACCTGGATACAGTCCTACTTCTCGAAAAACGGTCGCATCGAGCCTTTTGGATGAGATTTATACTGAAGAAAAAGAGGCATGTTTTTCATCTCTTTCGGGGAAAAGTGTTAACATGTCGCTTGATGGATGGTCAAACATTCACAACGAGCCGGTTATACGCGCAACATTAACAACGGAAGATGGACGAGCGCTTCTCTATGAAACCATTGATACTTCTGGAAAGCCTCATACTTCGACATACCTTACTGATCTGGTGTGCATTTAATTTCGGCGTGTCAAACAAAATTTCAGTGTGAAGCGCGATTTTTTTTGGAAAAAAAATCACGATTTAAATCATGATTAACGTCTTGATTGAAATCACTTGAAAAAAATCAAGCCAGCCCTGATAATGAGGGTTAATTGGTGGAAAATGCAACTAGTAACATGGTTTCAAAGGTTGCGTGCATCAACCGACCGTCATTCCAACTGGACAGGAAGCTCATGAGTGAACCTGCAAAGAACTGCTGTTTTGCGTCAGTTTCTCGCTGTATAAGTGCTGGGTTTGGCACGTGCAAGTAGCGTTTTTGTATTTTTTTCATAATCAACCCGACGCGCTTTGGATCGTTTACATGCAAAATTTGGGTCATTTTTATTGGAATCAGTTGGGGTTTAAACATTTTGTCAACTTCATCCTTTGAGGAGGAGGGAAGTTCGTGAAAAATGGGGTTTTGCCTCAAAAAGAGTGAAATTTTGAAGCTTTCCTGTACGGTATTTCAGTCACGCTGGCGATTTCTAGTCGCTTCTAGGGCTGGTTTTGGAGTCTGAGTTGGTTTTCTCATTTCCGTTTTCTGCTCATTTGAGGGTGAAATTTTGAGGATTTAGAGCTCCGTATTTCAAGTCGCTTGTAGGACTGATTCGGGAGTTAGAGCTTGTTTTACATCTGATTTGTCCATTTAAGCTTTCGATTCATTTGTCCAGTCTTCTTTTGATGCTTCTTGAATAAATAGGAATTTGCCTCAATTCGAGCAATTATTGCCGTATACAGGGTGATTCAAAATTGGCGTCATTCCTTTTAAGGGGTGATAGAGGCTCCTTTGGGGAGTACAAGAAAAATATTGAAAATTTTTTTCCGAAAATTTCTAGAAGATATTAACAGTTGAAGATCGAATTTCAACTTTGTTATTAAGCATTATTTTGAAATGGTTCCATGTATAATTGGTAGCATATTGGAATACTTAAGCATTCAAAAAGAAAAATAACAATCTTTGCTTCAAATTACGAAAATTTTTGATATCAAAAAAGTTCTTTTTTACAATTTTTTGATGAAAAGGCACAGCGGCAATGATGTTTTTTGTCATTAACAGATAGTTACCGGTATATCTTGTCAATCTTAACAATAATTTGTCAAGCTGTAACTTATTTTAAATTTCCTTTCACGAATTTGCTGATATGCGAGTTCAGGGGAAATGCTACAGTAACATAGCAGAAGCTGAAAGAATCCTTGTATCCTTATCTATCTTTTTTTAAAAACAATTATTATAATACAATTATCTTATGATAGAGCAAAAATATTTTGTAATCAATCTAATTTTTCCAAAGAAAACCAGTTTAATAAAAGAAATTCTAAATTTCAATAATTATGCAAATTCTTTGATTGAAAAATGTTTTAACGAAATTGAATTCCCTAACCTAAAAAAGAGTATGTTAATAAATTGTGTAACAATAGTAGGATAATACAGTATATGAAAATTTGCTCTGGTCATGGTTATGGGGTCACCACTATCCCCATTTTTCAGTAATTTATTTATGGAAAATTTCTATCTACTTTCATTAATAATTACAAATTTAAACCAATAATTTGGTGGCGTTATATTGATGACGTATTCTCCATTTACAGTCATGGCGAACAAAAACTTGATGAATTTTTATCTTATCTGAATAATAAAGAACCAACAATTAAATTCACTATTGAAAAAGCACAAAATCGCCAAATTTATTTTCTCGATATACTAATTCAGAAAAATTTAGACAATTTCGAAACCTTGGTCTATAGAAAACCTACTCATACTAACCGATATTTGAATTTCGACT